GGGTGCCCCCAAATTCTCTTTGCTTTTCACTATCCATATAAAACCATTGGATATCAGTGAGGTATTAACAGTGTGTTTTACATCTCCACCCAGTTTAAGATGCTGTTGAAGTCTTGATTGGGAGTTTGGAGTTGTTAGGACTTAGATGAATGGAGGCTGCTGTTCACGTTAGGAAGATGTAATTACTATTTGTTCAGATTTCTCTATTTATTCCAGTTGTAATTGAGGATAGGGTGGTATATCTCCTCAAGCAGATCTGCAACTTTGGATCCTCCAAAAATCACAGCTTCTGCCAGAGGAGCTTGTTGAGACTGCTGCCAAAAATTAGCCGGGGACCAGTTGCAGGTCTATCTAAAGTGGGAGGATCTGGCAATGGTCATTCATGCCCTTATCATCACATGACTGAATTACTACAATATGCACTTCATGGGGTTGCCTTTGAAGACCCCTTGGACAAAGTGCAAAATGTCTATGTTCATGCTTGTAAAATTTGCTTTATGCTTGTACAGTTGAAAAAAATAACTCCATCTAATTACATAACACATTTTTGTCACAACAAAGGGCTTGATTAGTAGCTCCAGTTCTTTTTAATCTCCAACTTCTTTCATCTGTACAAATGTTTTTTTTGCCTCCGAGTTTCAAATAATTTAATTCACATTTGGTGCTCCTCTAATTAGCTCCTTTATATAGGCAGACCTTCTGATTTAAAGACAGAACTGTTGTGCAGTTCATCTGTGGACTAATTAATTACTTTAATCTAGCAGAGTTTGTTGTAACAATTATTCAATTTATTTTTGCTACTGATTTTTAAAGGATGTCCAACAAAAACAGATATTTTTCTTTCTTGCAGATGGAATCCTGAGGTTTTTCCACTCTGTAGATCCAAAACATACATCCCAAAGGTTGTAAACATTCTTTAAATGCTGCCTGAGTTACTTCTCTTTCAATCTCCAGAAATGTCTTAAGCATCCCCCAATGAACGCTTCCCTATTTTCCACTTCACTTCTGTGGAACAATCCCAGTTTGTTCTTAACTCTTAGTAATTTGCTGTATCCAGTTTTAAAGGTCCCATTTTTCTACAAGAATGAGCAGTTTCCTAGAAAAGGTTCTCAGCCTCTTTAGAACTTACCACTCTTTCCAGCATTAGACTAGTATTGAGATCACTGTAGTTAGCAAGTAACAGCTGTAGATATTTTATTGTTTTTTGTTAAGTAGTCCAGAATCATGAAAATATGCTGTGACATACAAATATTTGTAAATAAATTAACTTTCCAAGGAAAACCATCACTATCAGGTTATATTTCCATATCGTTACATTGAGAACTTACCATCCAGTGTCCAGCAAAATTTTACATATCTAAAGCTATTCCTATTTTAATAGTGATAAATGTTTGTCCAATTTTGTGGAATAGTACAAAGAACTGTTGGATCAGTTCTGTTACTTTTCAGGCTCTTCAGGCTTCACTAAGAGTCTAATACACAACTTCATTAAAACAGAACCAATTCTGTACATAGGAAAATGCTTGCACTGGATCCATTCCTCTCCCCTAACCTAATTAGTTAAAACATTGCTACCGTATTTCAGTTATCAGAATAAAAAGATAGTATAAATTATTCTTGTACCTGTAATTTATGTAGTACTAATTAGCACCCATAACAGAACTCCTATTTTTTTCTGCAGCATAAATATATAATTTAAATCTGATAAAAATTACTTGATTAACTGAAAAGAATATGAAATATTCAAAGCAACAAGAATTAATAGTTCAGGTTATTGGGAAAGGATACAGATTTAAAGACCAAGGGATAATTTTTTTCCATAATACGTTGGAACATATTTTTCATAATGTGCATTGCATAGTTACTGTTGTAGGTAGTGAAAGTTAAATGCTATTCCTTTTCTCCTTTGTCCCTAATGGATTTTTAATTATTTTTCTTACTTTACACACTTTGCATGTATTGGTATAAAAAGGAAAATATTATAATAGATATAGAAAAGAGATATAGTGCATTTTTCATAATTCTTAGCTTCCAAATACATTCCAGTTTAACATAAATGTACTCAACACAAACAGAAAATACAAGTAAAAAATTAAATAGATTTGGAAAGATGCTTCACAAATATAAAAAACTGAGGTTATGTTTTTAGTTTTGGGCTGTTTCACATATACATCTGTAGTAGCACCAAAATGAATGAGAAATGTGCATATATTAAAAAGTGTAGTTTGAAATGATATGAATATCCAATGTAGTGCTTTTATGTGATTATTATTCAGCACAAAAATTACTCATTTTTAATTTCCATTTGATGGCAAAGTAATTGAAATAAAGTTTATACATGTGTATTCATATACATGTCTGTTCATCAGTCTGTTAAGCAAGAGAATTTTTGAAAAAGAAATGATATTCTCCTTAAATTATAACACAGTTAAAACAGGATATTACGGCAGCAAAGCTTTTTGATCGTTAATTTTGTTATTATTTATTAAAAATTGTTTTTATAACATTTACACCAGTTTTAATTAAGTAAATTGTTCATAATTGTTAGAAATATAATAATTGAATGTCCTGTGTAAAGGAATAAAAACTACCATCCTTATTTTGAAAAATGTGATTAGAAAAGTTAAATTCTACAGTAAAATGATGAGGTGCATAGAAAAGCAAAGTTTTGATGATTAGGAGCTATTTGACTGTTATCATGCAATGAAGTTGTGTTGTTCGTAGCAACAGAGTAGATAATATATGGTTGTGAAGGTTGGACTTTAAAAAACCAAGACAGGAAGAAAATTGACTCATTTGAGCTGTGATGCTGGAGAAGGCTTCTGCAGAGCATATTCCTTGGGCAGTAAAAGTGACTAAGAAACAAGTACTGGAGCCCATAACACCAGACCTATCACTGGACAGCAAAATCACAAAACTGCGTCTCACTTATTTTGGCCATGTCATGCAGAGGAATTCACTGGAGAAAGCAATTACGTTTGGAAAAGTTAATGTTAAAAGGGAACAAAGCTGACACTAGCCAGAGCATAGAACAACTCAAAGAAATAGCGCAAGATCAAAAGATATGGAGAGACTTGGCCCAAAAAATCACCAAGAGTCGGTCACAACTAAATGGATAACATCATCATCACTTATAAACTTTGAGATATTTTAAAAAGCCCATATACTGAATACCAGCTGCGTGGAAAATAATTATGCACACCTGTCCATTCCTGCTAACTGAATACTATAACACTCATAAAAACATCAGTAAAACAAGCCAAAACAGTATACAATCCACTTTCTTTATTTGAGCCTGAATGTTAATGAACTTTATCAATTTTCAGTGCATTCTGAGTTGCTTCTGACTTTGCTAACTCTGCAAGGGGCAGAGAAAAAAAAATTAAGGATCTAGAGTTGAAAATTTTTAAGTAAATCGACATTATGAAAATTTTGGAATTTTACAATTTCTGAAAACATCACCAAGTATGTTATGTCAAACTTTTTTTCATTTCACATTTGCCTGTTTAATTAAATTCGAGAAACTAAACAGTATTTTCCCCAGGATGAAAAACAGTAGAATTTTTCAAGAGCAGAATTTTATAGATGTGAGAAGCATGATCATATTAAAAATAAGTGCACAAAACATTTGGATTGAACAAGTGATTTTTTAAAAATATATTTGGAGCCAGTTGCTATTTCATCCACTAATGGGTTTTATTTAGCACCAAATAGAGTGTAATTCTAATATTGCAAGGCAATCATAAAAAATGTTTAATGTGTTCATAATTGCTGTGAGATGAAGATTCAACAATAACTTACCAATATTAAAAGTTACTGTGTGGCATAAAGATAAATTATGCAAATGAATGTTTTTGCAGTCTCCTAACATTCTATATATTCAGATATATCAATAGCTTCTAATTATACATATTTAATTAAACTGGATAAAGTCATGTAAATAAATGCATTTTAGGAGCAGCTATTCCTTAAGTACTAAAGAAGAACAGAGGAAAAACACATCAATAATAACATGCCTATGAAGAGAAACTAGGACAAAAAAGTTAATTGCATTTGTTAATTAATAAGCATGGGAAATAAATAAGATGCATATCTTATTTATTTCAATTTAAATGGATACTCCTCTTGTCACACACTTGGTGATGCACAATTGAAACCATAAAACATACAATGCTACACCTACAATTCAAAACAAAAACATCGGCAAAGAATAAAAAGCAATATATCAACCCATCCTGTAGGATATATACCATTCCGAAAGTTGCTTAATCAAATTATTTGGCGACAGATTATTTTCACTCAAATATGAATTAAAGTTCTCGTTTTTGTGACAGCTGAGATGGCTTTAAACCAGTGGTTCTCAACCTTTTTAATGCCGTGACCCCCAACAGGTCATAAGTCGAGGACTACTCAACCGGTCGTAAGTCGAGGACTACTCAACCAGTCGTAAGTCGAGGACTACTCAACCGGTCGTAAGTCGAGGACTACTCAACTGGTGCAGCACTGTTTGCAGAATGGGACTTTTGGTGGGCTTAGCAGGGCAGAGAAGCCTGGACAATTCCTATTGGCTTTTGAAAGCCAATAGAATTAGACTCTATTCAAGAGAGTCTATTCTATTGGCTTTCAAAAGCCAATAGAATAAAAGGGAGTAGCACAGCTAAGGAAAAGGGGAAAAAAATGGCAGACTGCATTGTTTGGCGACCCCCGTGAAATGGTCGTTCGACCCCAAATGGGGTCCTGACCCACAGGTTGAGAACCACTGCTCTAAACCAATGCAATGATGAGTGTGTAAAGAATAAAGCTGTGTGGAGAATAAAAATGCTTTGATTTGTGTATAAGGAAATAGGGCACTTTAATGACCAGAAACATTTTGGGCCCATCCTCATTTCATTTACTTATCTTCTCCTTGCCAATCTCCAACACGCTATTTAGAGAAGTTCTTGTTTTAAAAATCAAATCCAGAGATAATAGCCAACGTAAATATATGGTCAATCACATTATTAGGTTTATAATGAAAGTTTATTGTTCTGTTTCCTAGTACAATAAACTACCAAGTTTGTACAGTATAAAATGACAATAGCACAAAGCAACAATACAAAGTAATGCTGACATTCTATCAGGGTACAGCAGAGGAAATGGCTTCAGTACTGTCTTGCAATTCTACTGTACACATAAAAGCTAAGACTACCGATTTAACATAAATGTTTTTCACATTGAGATGCAAGAGGATTTTATATAACTTGGGGATCCTGGATATCGCCAGTTAATAGGCAAGGAACACAATGAAATAAAAAATTCAAAAGGAAAGAATCACAAAGCTCTCTAGATGGGCAATGACATGTTCCATACCACCTTGTGTACATCTCTCACCAAAGCAAACAGCCTGTAGAGAAAAACAAAAAGATTAGATGATGAGCCAGTATATAGGCCTGGGAAAAGTAATCACAGCTGAGAGTAAACCAGGATTTCCCCAATTTTTGAACTGTGCTATTCTTGTTCCTCCAAACTGCATATAGTTCGAGATTAGACAACTGACTTTAACCAAATGATTAAAATAACACCCAGATCTATCTCCTACGTGCTCTTTAGCTCATTCTCAACTACATATGAAGACATAGAAAGTTCAGCTCTAACCTTAAAGGAAGACATCTTCCATGTGCCAACTGATTCAGATGTATTTGGTGCGATTGAGGGCTTTCTCAGCAAAATGACCACTTTCATCTGTGATTTTCTCCCAGTCTGTTTGTCCCACAACAAAACCAATGGCCCTCTTTCTGTCTGCATCCTTCTTTTCTTCAAGGTCTGCCCACCTTACCTGTAAGAAAAAGATACACTGCTTGGGTAACAGTAATTTTTAGGAAAGAGAAGTAGCATGCATAAATCCCTGATACAATTTTACCCCCTGCAGAAATTTTAGACGATTAAGAAAAGTGATTAGCTATCACTTCACTTGAGCTTCCTAATGTATTTAGAGGTGAACAAAATTTAAGTCTTACCCATGTTTTAATTTTGTGATTTTAAAAATCAAGCATTTGGATGAAGATGATACTTATAAAGAGAAAAAGGATAAGAATATTCTTTTTAATCTTGCCCTCTTTCACAAACCTTCCTACTTGGAAAAATGGATGAAAAACTGATTTTTTTCAAAGAGTTTCATTTTTATTTTTCAGAGCTTGCTAACTTATATTTTAAATCCAGTTTCTTATTGGACAAGGAGCTATTTATTCCCTTAGAATTTGGTGTGACTGTTCCACACACCTTTAGAATTCCTCTAACACAGTGTTTCCCAAACTTGACAATTTTAAGGCATGTGGACTTCAACTCCCAGAATTCCACAGCCAGCGTTGCTGGCTGTGGAATTCTGGGAGTTGAAGTCCTCATGCCTTAAAATTGTCAAGTTTGGGAAACACTGCTCTAACAAGTTCCGAGGATACTGGTACCTTCTTCAGAAGCACTAAATATGCATCTGTTTTCTGAATATATAGGAATGTTGCTAATTTTTTACCACTGGAGTTTGGATACTGTCTTCTTTGGTTGCTGAAGTTAAATGTTGTTATATTCAGCTTCATTCTAGATATATATTACCATTATCATATCATGACCATATATCATCAATATATCATAACTAGTCTGATTTCAAAGTTTATTCTAAGCACTTGGGATACAAGTTCAACTTTCTTTCATCCATATTATTTATTTGTAAAAACTATACTAATTAGATTACAATGAAACTCTGAAACAAAACATTGAAGTAATGAGGGGAAAAAGATATGTCAGTGAATCTTGTTCCACTGTTCCACTGACTTTGCAAGCTACAAAATTTGTTGGTGGGATGGACAGTCAAAAGCAGGAAAACCTCATAAAGATTTCTTTTATTGCAATCTAAGCAATTTTTGCATACCCTTTGATAAAAAGGTGAAAAACGATTTCAAGAAGGAGATATTGACAAAGTAATCAGACCACTCTCAATTGCTGAGAAAACAACACAATGCTCCCTTGTCTTGATCCAGTTGCATTTAGTTGACTAGTTTGGATGGCAGAGGAATATGTATTCTACTGAAAAATAAAGTTGTGTTGGTCTAAAGTGGTCAGCCCACAGTCACTTTCACAGCTCTTGGAGTCCCCACTAACCATAACTACTGAATGGTTATTGCCATTTTGAGATAACAAACACATAAAACTGTAAAATTTCCAATAGGCAGTTCAATGCTGAAAAAAAAAAATGTCTCACCAACTCCATCCATATGTAACATGACTCCACCTAACATAACAATGTTAAGTATACTGAAAGGTTGTTCTCTCCAGATAGAAAAGAACCATATACTAACACAATCTAGCTAATATACTTTTTAGCAATAGCATCCCATTAACAAACATATCACCATTGCAAGAGGGAATAGCCTCATATAACTATTTATCCTATCAGAATGGACAGGTTTTAAGAGCTTTCCTGAAGCTCAGTGCAGCTGGGGTATGTTAAACAAAAATGATATTTATTACCCTTTTTTTCCCAGGTTCAGAAGCACGACTATCATAATCATCTGGAAGCTGAAGGTAATCTTCCATTCTGCTGGCAATTGCTTCCCAGTCACGTTTCCTCTTAGTACCAGTTCGCAACCCATCCAATTTGTCTGAGAACAAACACATAGCCTTATGGTTAAATAAAATTTTGTATACGTAAACACAATACATGGAGATTTTCTTAAACAGATCTTTTACAATATATAGTGGTGAAAGCCAATTAGTGGATGTCTTTGTGAGTGGCATAAATTCAAAATGGAGCACCCGAATCCTACCCTTTGGAAATTCAGTCTTTTGTGTGCAAAAATATGAACATGCATATGTGTAAGAGAAGCTACTTCTTGCCTCAAATAGCTAACAGAATCCATGTACAATGGTGACACTTCAACCACTTCTGATGACCAGTTCAGAAGTTCCATTCTATATTTTAAGCCAAAACTATGGAAGATACATGAGATGTTCCATAAATAATGAAACATTATTTCAGAACAATCACCAGACAAAGAACTTGAATGTAATGCAGAATACCAGCTAAGGAGGAATTAAATCCAAAAGCAGATCAGAGTTTTTTTGCCTTTGTTTCAGTAGCTGATATAAAGTTGAAATATGTGGTTGTAATAATTATTTGGTATGGATCAACACATTTTTCTAAACAGTATCTTTCAATCTTATTACTAAGAAGCCATTTCTACAGGCTACATGCAAGCACATATAAGTAAAACTGGTGTTTTTCTTACACAAAAACAACTGTTTTTCTCATTTACATTTATTATTATAAATACACCTGTATTTAAATGCAAAATGGAACATTTTAACTTTTAAATGATTATCATAGACTATTACAAATAGCAAATTCCATATTATGCTATTTTCTGAATGGAGTTTTAAATCACTTACATACTTATTTCTTAACAAAACAGGCAGAAAAGTGGCACTGATGTGAAAATTACCGTATTACATTTCTCTATATCAGAATTATCTCTCTCATAATGTATATGTTTTTGTTATTTTTGTTATTTGCAAAATTGCAATAAGTGGGCTATTAAACATAGTGTAAGATTTTTTTTAACAGCCAATTAAACATTTTCTGCCTGTGTTTAATTTAGCTGTTAACAGAAAAAAATAATCTGGTTTAAGTCTTTAGTTTCTCTGTCATAGTAAAATGTATTGAAATCTATTAAACATTATTCACAAATTGTCTTACAAAAACCAATTTCATTTAAGAGATAGATTATGAGCAGCATGAAATAATGTGTAAAAACCATGAAGAAATATAGTGATGTACATTTCAGGTTATATGTGATTTATATTATAACTGTACAGAAACTGCCACAAACTCAGATCACAATCCAAATAATCCTGCACACAAGCCAAAAATATTATTAATTAGATATGTGTATATTGTGTGTGGTTCTATTTGCTAATTCTTCTTGCCTTTAAGAACAGATTCAGGAAGGAAAAGTTGAATGGGAAGGCGAGTATAAAAGGATATAAAAGCCTTGCTTTTTACTGCTGCAACCACAAATTATTAATAGGCACATCTAGTCAACATGGAAAGATAATTCTTGTGTTCAATGGATACAAAAATAGTTTATGCAATATTCAGCTAGAAAACAAAGAAATTCTAAGGAACAAAGTTCTAAGACACCAAATTATATGAGTAGAATTGTGTCTATTTCCATCAAGTTTGATTTACTACTGCAATAATGGCAAGATTGATGCATGAAAGGAATTATGAGGTAAGTGATCCAAAGAATTAACAGCAGCACTAGACATTTTAATTCACATATTATTCCTTTATAAGCAAAAAGTTGGAAATATATAGGAGGAGACACTAATATAACATGCTGTATTATGTTACAGGTAATATTTGAAACAAATAACATCTGAAATATGTTTTTAGAATGAGGAAGCCAATACTTAGTGACATTTTATCGATTTTGTTAGCATTGGGAGCAACAGCATTTGAATTTCAGAAGAACTTTGGAAAATGAACATTATCACTGTATTATCTGACTGTGGTCAAGTTATATAACTAAGAAGATGTGGGAGTGTTTTTGTACCTTTCATCAGTTTTTAATAATACTGACCAGAGTACATGTTTACATTCTCCATCTCCAATGGAAACTGGAGGTTTCTGTGTCTACAATTCAATATGACCAATTGGTTGCAAAAGATTGTGTTGGAGGATTGCTGCTTTGCTCCACTCCATATTGTACATGCTTTAGATTTCTACAAAATTTCATTTGCCTGATAGTATTTAAAATCTACTTAACATTACTAATGTCAACAGGAAATCTACAGTAAATGCTTATTAGTATACCGTAAAACAGGGGTGTCAAACTCACGTCACATGACATGTCGCGATGTATCATGACTTTTTTTCCATTGCCGGCAATGGGGTGAGCGCAGTTTCGACATGACGCATCTGGCCCGTGGGCCAGTAGTTTGACACTCCTGCCATAACACAAAGAAAACCCTCACCCAAAACCTTTCTGCTGTCTTTTCATTAAATTTAGAAAGACTGCAGATGTTCTGAACCAGGTGTTTAGATTTGATAAGCTGGAAGAAAATCAGTAAGCAGAAGTTAACAAGTATGTAACAACTGTCAGATTATATCAAAAGTGAAGGCATAGTTCATTCTCATTGTTACCTAGTAACTGTAGTTTTTCTTATTTATGGTTTACATATTTTAGTTATGTGCCATCCAACATCAAACTCAATACAGTCAGCTAAGACTGCAGCACATTGGTTGCCAAAATATAAAAGGATGGTCTGAGTAGTTTAATAACTTTTAATTGATCAGATCCCCTGCATGTGTGTGTTATTACAAACTGTTATAAATAAGCTATATACTTTTCATAGCTCATTTCTTTAAATCAACATCAGCTGATACACCAAAGGTAGCCGTCTTGGGAGGTCTCCACACCATAGCAATACAGACACTGGACTAAAATGATTAGGTTTATTTGGGGCTACATTAAGATCCTATTGAGTAATTTAAATTAATTCAGAGTGCAGCATCAAAAATGTAATCTACTGTAACAATCATCTTTGCATTGTTTAAATAACTTTATTATATTCAATAGCTTCCAATTATAAATAAATAAATAGGCAAGCTCAGGACAAGGATTTTAGATCGTTTAATAGCTCCATTCATACACCCTGGTGAGATGGATTGCAATCATAGGTAGCCTTCTTTGCTACAGCTTTTGTTGGGAGTTTTTTACTGCTTGTTTTCACTAAAGCTCCTACAGGTTAAAATGGTTTTATTTTTTCCATAGTTTTATTTTGTTATTGAACTATTTATTGTTCATTTTGATTATATGGTAAAGCTATCACAAACACAACGTGAAGTGAAATAGAAATATTTTAAATCATTTCAGGACTTTTTATTTTAAAAATATTATTGCAAAAAGTGACATCAGTTCTTATGAGATTATATGTCCATTTAGAACAATCCATGAAAATAAACCGTGTCACATGAATGCATGAAGTAAACTCTTAAGATGCACGAACGCTCAGAGATTCACCATATGTAGCATACACCACAGAGCTAGCAAGGAATGTTTCCATAATATGGTAGAAAGCCATATTACTAATTCTTTGCTTGTGACTATTTTAATGTATTTTATTGTTAAGGTTTCTCATTTTTATATCTTATACAATGCCACCGGGCCCTTTGCCTCCTTTGCTTAAAATATTGAATTTATCTAAGAAGGAAAAACTTACAGATAATGGCATTACTAGGAAATTAAGTCATGCAACAGGAAGATAATGTAGCCTCCAGGATTTTTTTGGGGGGGATAGAATGATCTGAATAAACATGCAAAGAATTTAAGATGGTATACATAGATATAGAAAATTAAATCAACAATATGTTAAATATTGAACAAATCCTTAATTGTGGCAAAATGTGTATACTTTTCTATAGTCTGATGAATTAATCAAATTATTAATTTATATGGTATAAAAGATACAAAATCATGATATTAAGCCATTGGCTTCATAGCAAATTCTATATTCAGTGAATGCACATACTTGCTTTAATCAAATCTTTTTCAATTGCTCAGCATTCTATTTTGGCCTTCTTGCTGAGCACAAGTCATATATTAGAAAGGCATGATGGTGGAGTTCTTTTTGACATTTTAATTGTTCACTAAAAGAACAGATCTGTAAAAAAAAAACCTTATATATGTATAATCTTATACCAATCCTTCAGATTTCTTCAAGTTGTTCCCTATAGTGAAAAAGTGTGTAAAAACATTAAACAAACAGATCTATATTAAAAGCGAGCATTTAATGAATCCTTCCTAATGCTGTATTTGCCTTGAATGTTATTATCCTCTGAAAATCAAAGCACTTGAAAGGGAATACTTATTGATATATTGTCCTATAAAACCTCCAGGACTATTAAGATACATTTACCGTTGAGTTAACTCAATATGTTATAGAAACTGAAGTATATCAAAAATTCCTTGATGTCTTTTCATATGACATTGTTCATCATTATGACCAGCTGTGGTCCAGACACATTTAAAAGCATCAAACTGGGACAGCCACATTATTATTATTTTATTCTTGCCATGGATATACCAGAACACAAAGTGCTGATAAAGATACATTTCTGTGTTCAAACTATCTTCCTTTTTAATCTGATATATTATTATTTCTACTAAAAATTTTCTACTCTTCAAATGCTATAATTCAATGGTTGTAACTATTTAAGATAGTACTTTTAAAATACAAAAGAACATACTTACACTGGTCAAATAATAGTTTTAAAGCAATGGCTTCCAAGAAAAGAACATAGCAAATGGCTTAAATGAAAAAAATTAAAAAATAATGAAAATCTCATCTTTCTGCTTCTTTTCTCTGAGAAGCACTGGAGCTCCATTAAGATACAGAATGTACTCACACATAACAATGTTATAAAATATTAATTATGCTTTGAAACGATACCCATATGTGCTAACTCCAATAATGCCAAACCAAGGCATAATGTTGAACAATAATGTTAGTCTAATCAGAGTTTAACATACAGATATAATGGTCTAAAGAATGGCATACATAAAGTTGGTCAGCTCTGTAGGAAATACTAAGCCACTACAAATAATCCCTTTTACTCACCACTCATTTATTTGAATATTAATATATAAGAAACTGCATCACAAAAGTATTCTCGTAACTAAATTTTAAAAATCTGATTATTATAGCATTGCAGCTGCAGAGATAAAAGGATATTACACTGCCTTGAGGCAGCTGTATCATCAAAAATATCAAATTCAGTATATTTTTCTCAAGCATGTGATCAGACCATATTGCGTGAATATGATTTTTTGTTAATAAAATAAATTAAATACCCACCTAATTTTGCTTCAGAAGTATCCATCTCCCATTTGCTTTTCGGAATGTAACCCTAAATCATATACAGAGAGAAGCTCGAAGGATTAGAGAGAGATACAGAAAGCATATAACATATTTTATCCTGCAACAGAATTATACTGCAAACATTTTCTTAAGATACTCAATCTGAACTGTAAACTTGATTTGAAATTGTAAAACGCTGCAATATGAAAAATATTCATAGTCACTCTGCATCCAGTACAAGAGTGTTTCTCACAATAAGAGTGTATCTTACAATAATTTCACAATGGGAAGTATCTCACAATAATAAGGTATGATATATTTCTCAGTGTTGCATGTGTTGCGTGATCAGAATTCATATATGTGTATCAGGGATTTCCACATAGTATTTTATAATAGTATCTTCACAGGTCATCTTTCTATATGGGAACAGTGTGGGATGAAGAGTTCAGAAGCCCACTATATAAGCATGAATATCTTTGACAATTGTTTGAGTTTTATTTTTAGGGACTCTTCCACAAATGTTTAAAAAAGTATTCTAAAATTGCATCTTTTTTTTATTAGCATGGGTTTCTGCATTTAGTTCAGCCCTCAATATGTATTTTTAAAATCAGAAAAGAACTTAATCACAAAAAGCACGTATTACTGAATACAAGAACTGATTGAAAAAAACAGTTAAAACCACTAGAAACGACAGAAAGCATTTATTAATGGAAATCTCACATTTTTAGTTATCAAAAATATGTGACACGTGAACTTCAGAGTCTGACCCAGCAGAGTACATATCAATCAGGCAGGATACCACAAGCGACCCACGTTTTCAAAAAGATGAAATTTCACTCATCAGCTATTTAGAGATTAGATCCAAATTTTGCTTTTCCTTCTGAACAAATGATGGCATATTTCACCTTTTTTGTCCACCGAACTCTGGTATTTGGATGGAAAACCAATGCAGCAAGGGGGCACATGTATGTGCAGGGTTCCTCATCCAACCAAGGACATGTACTTGTTTCCTAGTTAAATTAGGGTTTAGGACTAATAGTAGAATTATAACCCAATACCTCAGTCATTGTTTAATACATTTTATTTAATACAACTCTTGGTTCAAATTAATTTAAAGTACCATTTTTATAATTTGTATAGAAATATTGCTGTTTGATAGGCTGCCTGATTTAGAAATAGATAGTGCCATTATTTGGAATGTAGACTGCAGCTCTTAGGCACTGCTTGATCTGAAGCCACTTCTAACTGCAAGAAGCATGAACACTTTTTAGCGGCTGAGACTTTAGGAACATTGTTTTCTGGAACTGTATGCTTATGTTCTACGAACTTCCATATTCCATTTCTTTAACAAGCTGCTATTGACAATTGTCTGGAAAGGCTGAGGAAAAAGTTGCTGGCCCAGCAAATTGATTAATTTGCACTGGTTATTTGTTGGTTTCTGCTTCAGATCCAAAGGCTGATTCTTCCCATCCTGTACTCATACCACCAGATTATGTTCTTTTTGCTCTCAGTATCTGAAATTTGGCAGTTGTCTAAGAGAAACAGGATATGTTTACTACAGGTAGCAGCAGTATAGAATATCACAATACTTAATTCTCAGATGGTAGTTAAAATCCTGGCACTTTAGGGTGGAATGACTGTACTGTCCATTTATTTATTTTTCTTCTTATGTACAATTCAATAGGCAATTACCATTCTGGTTTCTGAAGAATCAACTGAAATAGCTGTGCTATTTCATAACAATAACATTTGTTCTATAATGTACTTTGGAGATGGGTGTTTATGTTGGTAACTTAGTTATTTACTCCATGAAAAACAATTATCTTTTTGATAAGAATACATTCATTTGGAAGAATAAACTCCGAAAGAAAAATTCAACGTTGGAAATTTTTGATGAAAAGCAGACAATGGAAAAACAGTATAGGAAAGTGTTTATTTTTTCCATCTGTGCTGCAACTACAGTTCTGCCTTTTCTTTACTTGGTCTTCTTGATCATTTTTGTCTTCTAAAAAAAACCAATACAATTTGGAAGGAATAAAATTAGCATCCACTCTCAGGCCGGCAGATACATGATTCCAACATAAAAACGTTAAGAACCTGAAACGTAGAAAGCTTCAGAATAAAAACACTTGTATCACTGGTCCAATTAAAAGAAGCATTGTGTAATTAAAAAACTAATGTTACTTATCTTTAAATTTCATTTACCTGAATGATGATTACTAATCTTGAAGGCTTTAAGAGAATATGATACGTTCATGGATGACAGGAATTCAAGGCATATATAGACATAGCTATTAGTAGCCATTTCCAGAATCAGAGACTGTATTTTTTCTGACCAGTGACTGAAACACAGCAGTGATCAGAGGGGATGTTCTACAGGCTTTCCATAGCATTTTTTTGACTACTATAGAAACCAAGATACTAGGTTAAAGATGTGGGTGTGATCCAGCAGTTTTTCCAATAATGTAGTCATAATATTTATGAAGAAAATAAGTATTTATTACAAGAAAATCCAGGCAGCTAAAGAGAAATTGCCTGTGAAGATGGATATCTCTTCTGTCCATTCAGAAGAAATAGTTTTAAATTCATTTCACAATAAAATTTCTGCCCATTTTGGGAGCAGATCGTCAGAATTCTGGAGAAAAGGCTTTAATTTCTGAAATCAAAACTTTTAGCAATCCATGATGCTTTAAAAAGAAACGAAAGAGAAGAATTGATATCATAAAAAATTGTGCTTTGGAAAATTTAGTGATCTAAGTTGAGACCATGGATCTCTTTCCATATAACCAGAAAAGAATCTTATAATCAGTATAGATTCTATTTTATTTCAAAAGGTAGAACAGCCAACTATTGGATGTACAGCAACTATAACTTTGGTTCAGAGATGGACAATCCTTTCAGGAATACACTATGTCTGAAGCAATCTACTGCACGAATGTTCTCCATCTTCTGCTTGATTTAGAAAGACTCAGGCCTCAGTGATTATAGGGAGGAAAATCACCTATAAAATTAATTTTCTCAGGAGATTGAAATAACAATAGAAGCTATGTTTGATAACAAAGTTGCTATAAAATAAAAAAAATGGTTCCAATAATAGCAATGAAAACTCCCAAACTTTAACAAAAACTATCTGAATAAGAAGTTAAGTTAATAAAATTGTATTTCCAGTTAGCTTGATTTATTATTGTTCTTTGCATGGAGAAAAGGTTAATCCAAGCTGTTCTTTCTTTAGCAAAGTTGTAAGTGTAGTTGTAAGTCAAGCTTATTATCTGACCATCCATTTAATAAGCTGAATATATTTCAGGAGCAATCTAGACAAGTTGTCATTCTATTCTTCATTGAATCATCAAATAGTTCTCAAACACTTCAGAAATTCATTGATTCTATTTGCTGGTAAACGTCCGCAAAAAATTATTTTCAATAATGCTATACCTGCTTTCCTCCAGGATATCTACTCTTTACAGTGAATATTCATGCAAGAATTAATAGGAAATGCTATGTAACATCCCAGTGCTCTGAGAGAGACAACATGACAC